TATGAACTAAATATGCAGCAATAATATCAACTATGTATGCATTGTTTATGTACTAAATATGCACATTTTACTAACTAAATATGCATCAAGAATGAACTAAATATGCAACGAAAATATGTAATAAAATATACATTTTATACAATTAAATTAAATATAATAATTAATGACTTTTTATTATATAATTAATTTTAATTTTAAATTGATTAATAACACAAATAAATTGTTATGATTGGATCTCAAAATAAAATAGGTATGCACTGTTCATGAACTAAATATGCATTTCGTAAGAACTAATATGTATCATGAATAAACTAAATATGCATCATAAAGTAACTATATAAATATCATTATATATTTAATTTAAATATAACAAGTATGCATTTTGTATTAACTAAACATGCATCATAAATTACCTAAATATTCACAATAAATTAACTAAATATGCATCATAAATTAACTATATAAAATGTACATTTTATTGCATATTTTGTCGTTGCATATTTAGTTCATTTATGATGCATATTTAGTTCATAACAGATGCATATTTAGTTAATAACATAAATAATTTTTATTATATAATTAATTTTAATTTTAAATTGATTAATAACACAAATAAATTGTTATGATTGGATCTCAAATAAAATATGTACGCACTGTTCATTAAACTAGATATGCATTTCGTAAGAACTAAAATATGTATCATTTAAGTAAATATGCATAATAATTAATTATATAAATATTATTATATATTTAATTTAAATATAACAAATATGCATTTCGTATTAACTAAATATGTATCATAAATTACCTAAATATTCATAAAAAATTAACTAAATATGCATCATAAATTACCTATATGAAATGCACATTTTTACTGCATATTTTTCGCTGCATATTTAGTTCATTCATGATGCATATTTTGTTCATAACAGATGCATATTTAGTTCATAACAGGTGCATACTTAGTTGATATTATTGGTGCATATTTAGTTCATAAGAACTGCATGTGCAATTCATATCTCATGCATATTTAGTTCATATTGAATGCATGGTACTGAATGCATATTTACTTCATACATATAATGCATACTAGGGGTCAACGGGTCAACGCCGGAAGTCAACGGTCAACGCCGTAAGTCAACGGTCAACGACAAAAGTCAATGATTTTTCGCCGGAAGTCAACGGTCAACGTCGGAAGTCAACGGTCAACGCCGGAGTCAACTAATAATTATTTTATTATTTAATTAATATTTATTTTAAGGAATGGACTCATTTTAAGGAGTGGACTCATTGGATCCTCACATATATATATCCAATGAGTACACATATTTAAAGTGTAAATGTGAGACCCATTTCTAGCCATTAGATGGATACATTATGTGTGGCTAAGATAAACTCTTCATTTAAATAATAATTCTTTATTTTTATTACTTATTTCTTTATTTTATTATTTTAATTATTTAAATATCATTTTGACAATTGACCATTGACTTCGGCGTTGGCCGTTGACTTCAACGTTGACCGTTGACTCAGCGTTGACATGTGACTTCCGGCATTGACCGTTGACTTCCGACGTTGACTTTCGGTGAAAATTGTTGACTTCCGGCATTGACCGTTGACTTCCGGCGTTGACATTCAACATTGACCGTTGACCCTTAGCATGCATTGTGTATGAAGTAAATATGCATCAGTACTATGCACTTAGTATGAACTAAATATGCATCATAAATGAATTATATATGTTATCCTTATGAACTAAATATGCACCAGTAATATCAACTATGTATGCACTGTTTATGTACTAAATATGCACGTTTTACTAACTAAATATGCATCAGGAATGAACTAAATATGCAACGAAAATATGCAATAAAATATACATTTTATACAATTGAATTAAATATAATAATTAATAATTTTATTATATAATTAATTTTAATTTTAAATTGATTAATAACACAAATAAATTGTTATGGTTGGATCTCAAATAAAATAGGTATTCATTGTTCATGAACTAAATATGCATTTCGTAAGAACTAAATATGTATCATGAATTAAGTAAATAGGCATAATAAATTAATTATATAAATATTATTATATATTTAATTTAAATATAATAAGTATGCATTTCGTATTAACTAAATATGCATCATAAATTACCTAAATATTCATAATAAATTAACTAAATATGCATCATAAATTACCTATATAAAATGTACATTTTTACTGCATATTTTTCGCTGCATATTTAGTTCATTCATGATGCATATTTAGTTCATAACAGATGCACTTAGTATGAACTAAATATGCATAAAAAATGAGTTATATATGTCATCCTTATGAACTAAATATGCAGGAATAATATCAACTATGTATGCACTGTTTATGTACTAAATATGCACATTTTACTAACTAAATATGCATCAGGAATGAACTAAATATGCAACGATAATATGCAATAAAATATACATTTTATACAATTAAATTAAATATAATAATTAATGATTTTTTATTATATAATTAATTTTAATGTTAAATTGATTAATAACACAAATACATTGTTATGATTGGATTTCAAAATAAAATATGTATGCACTGTTCATTAACTAAATATGCATTTCGTAAGAACTAAATATGTATGAATAAACTGAATATGCATCATAAATTAACTATATAAATATCATTATATATTTAATTTAAATATAACAAGTATGCATTTTGTATTAACTAAAAATGCATCAGAAATTACCTAAATATTCACAATAAATTAACTAAATATGCATCATATATAAATTAACTATATAAAATGTACATTTTATCGCATATTTTTTTGCTGCATATTTAGTTCATTCATGATGCATATTTAGTTCATAACAGATGCATATTTAGTTAATAACACAAATAATTTTTATTATATAATTAATTTTAATTTTAAATTGATTAATAACACAAATAAATTGTTATGATTGGATCTCAAATAAAATAGGTATGCAATGTTCATGAACTAAATATGCATTTCGTAAGAACTAAAATATGTATCATGAATTAAGTAAATATGCATAATAATTTATTATATAAATATTATTATATATTTAATTTAAATATAACAAATATGCATTTCGTATTAACTAAATATGCATCATAAATTACCTAAATATTTATAAAAAATTAACTAAATATGCATCATAAATTACCTATATGAAATGCACATTTTCTTGCATATTTTTCGCTGCATATTTAGTTCATTCATGATGCATATTTAGTTCATAACAGATGCATATTTAGTTCATAACATGTGCATACTTAGTTGATATTATTGGTGCATATTTAGTTCATAAGGACTGCATGTGCAATTCATATCACATGCATATTTAGTTCATATTGAATGCATGGTGATGGATGCATATTTACTTCATACATATGATGCATATTAGGGGTCAACAGGTCAACGCCGGAAGTCAACGGTCAACGCCGGAGTCAACTAATAATTATTTTATTATTTAATTAATATATATTTTAAGGAGTGGACTCATTTTAAGGTGTGTACTCATTTTAAGGAGTGTACTCATTCGATCCTCCCCTATATATATATATTAGATATTTATGAACATTTTTAAGAGAATTAATTATGTTTTAATATTATTTTGTATTCTAGACGTGTCCAATCTTTCTTTTTTCTCATCTTTCTTTAATAATTATAAAAAATTTACTAACATAAACAATAAATATATTACAAATAAAAGCTAATACTTTTTATATTTATTATCAATTTTTATATATAATATATCAAATTAATCATATCTTGATGAAATTTGATTTGACATCTGTATTGTATATAAAAATAAACAAATAAACATATTTATCTTTGTAATGAAAATTAAATAATATATTAATAATAATTGGAAAAATATTATTTTAATTAATTTAACTACAAATTAGTGAAATGCTATATGTTAAAAGTTCTTGGTATACAAGATGTTAAGTCGTATAAGTGAAGGATGTCGTTTTAAATAAAAATAAAAATATAGTTTAAAAGGATAACTTTTTTAGTTTTAATTTTAAACATAAATTCCTTAACACACATCGTGCAATACACGAGATTGTACTAGTCTAATAATATTGCTAAATGGATGAGAAACACCTGAGAGGGAAGATAACTCGTACTATAATATTATTTTGTTCTATTCAATATTTTGTTATTCTTTTGAAAATTACTCTCTTTTTATTTTATTATCCATTTGGAACAAATATCACGTTCTCATATTTTTTTGGAATATTATTTTTTAACTGGTACAGAAGCAATCTAGAAGCTGAACTACTTGCTGATATTTTCTTTTTTTTTTTTTTTTTT